CACAGTGGCCGCGTGGTACAAGGCATGAACCGTCTTCGACCGCTCGAACACTGGGATTGTGGGTTCGAAACCAACTTGAGGCATGGATGTTTGTATGTGAGTTTATTATGTGTTTGTTTTGTTCTGTGTGTAGGTAGCGGCCTTGCAACGGGCTGATCCCCATCCAAGGAATCCTACCTATTAAGAAAGTGAAAAAGCGGTTAAGGTCCACAAGGGCTGTAGAACCATAGATGGATAGTTTTCATTGTTTGCGTGGGTTGAATAGTGGTTCATGCCTCATTAAAAATTTAATTTTATACTCATAATGATTTTTGGTTTCAGTTTCACTTTCACATCTTCTTATTAAACAGTGAATTTTATAGATTCCTTACCTATATACATGGGGGCACGCGGTAGCGTAGTTGGTTGAGGGGCTATGCTACAAGCCGAAAGGTCGCGGGTTCAAGACCCGATGAGGTCATTGGATTTTTTTAAATTGACTTATACCTTCCAGCCGCACTATGTCCCTGGGGTTCACTCAGCTGCTAACAGAATTGAGTACCAGGAATTAATTAAATAATTTTCCTGGGGAGTAAAGCGCGGCCGGCGCGTAATGCTGACAACCTTACCGCCATCTTTGAGCCGATTGTCCAGATAATGGACCCTCGACGTCTCACAGCCCTATGGGCCTTCACGGCCTGTTACAGGCATAGATGGTTTGGGAGGAGAAGGTTATGGTTAGTCCGGCTCAGAATAGAGACAAGTAGTGGACTGCTGTAACCACGGACTTCTGATAATATTTCACGTAATAAGAAACCGCCCATATTTCGTACGACGAAGCGAATGTATATTTTGTAATCTGGTCAGAATTCCTGGCTATAGATCCAGAGGTTCCGGGTTCGAATTCCGGCGCTACCAGATTTTCCGAGAAGTAGTGGTTCTGGAAAGGGGTCCACTCAGCCTCGTGAGGATAACTGTGGAGATATTTGAAGGAAATAGCGGCTCCGGTCTAGAAAACCGAAATTAACGGCCGTGGGGGTTCGTTGCGTTGACCACGTGACACCCCTCTATCTGCTAAAGTTGTCACTAACTTCGCCTACAAGCGGCGTTCGTTCGGTCAGTATAGTTCGATTGCGGATTCAAGCCACGGATTTTCTTTGTGTAACATATTCTCTTCCTAGACAAGAACGGATTTATCTTAGCAAGATTATGGTTACTGTATGATTGTTTAACGACCATTCCTATAATAATGCGGCAAGACATAAATATTGCTATTTTATAGCTTTCTTTCCTGGAATATGACTACATTCACACTGGACGTGCTGTCAATGGTAATATTGTAAATACTGTGACGTGTATATCCATTGCTAGGCAACTACTCGGTAAATTCCTGAACCGATCGTCATGGAAATTGGTATTTATGTCATACCTTTGAGCATTTCAACCGCGCAGTTAATAAACCCCTATCTTCAGTAATACCAACATTACAGCCTTTTAAACTACTGAGGCAAAATTTTTATATTACTTGAAAACCTGTACCAATCTTCATGAAACTTTCTATATCATTCCACTTGCACCCATCTCAACTGTACACTTCACAGTTCCTTTCCATCAGTAACACCAACATTACAGCCATTCAAATTTCTGAGGCAGAACCTTAATATTAGTTCAATACCTTTACCAACCTTCATGAAACTTAGTGAGAATATCATGCCACATGAAGCCATCTCAATGCCGTATATCATATATCCCTACCACCAGTAACACCAACATTACAGCCTCTCAAATTTCTGACGCAATCCCTTAATATTGCTTGAACATCTATACAAAACTTCATGCAACTTGAATCCATCTCAACGGCATTTTCCGTCAATCTCTTCTGTCAGTAACACTAATTTTACAGCTGTCAAATTTTTGGGGTAATAACTTTTATGTTGTTTAAATATCTGAACCAAACGTCATGGAATATATATATATCATGCCTGGAACCATGTCAACGGTGTACCTTACATGTCACTCAAGTCAGTAATACCAACACTGCAACCTCCAAAATTGTATTGTTTTATTGACTTTACGTGTATTACGCACATGTACTGAAGTTTTCTTTCTGCTTGCCTTATCAGATACTGAAGTTACAGTGAAAGGAAAGTAAGTGATTAGTTGTTCCCAGAACTTTTTGTTTATTTTTTTAGTTATTAAGCATTTAGTTACGGAATGGATGTGCAGGTACTGCCAACCTAGACAGCAGTAACAGTTACTTTTTGGGTATCTGATGCAAAATAAAGAATTCTTTTACTTTAAATGTCATGCAGAACTGTATGAATAACAATATGCTTTAAACGCAAGAGGTTCTAATTCAGTGGAATTCACAACGCGCGCTAAAGAGAATCCAGAGATATTTCTACATACTACAAAAAGTTTCTACCTAAATATAAGATTACGTCAAGAATAATTTTTGTTCTCGTGACTCGCGTTTTCTTACATTGAAGAAACGCAATTTTATACGACATATTTAAGAGGAATGTCGACTTATCACATCCAAGAAGCGCTCCTCCGACTCCTTTTGTTCCTAAATAGGCTATCATCCTAACCGGAAGGAAGAAGTATAAGACTTACCGCCACCTTACCCAGCAGATGTCCCCACTGCCACTGCCAAACAGACAGTATCCGCTCCCTGCCAGCATCCACGGCCAGGACGTAACTCCCACCGTTCTGCGACATAACAAACCACATGCACGTTGCAACCCAAAGCTTATGATTGCTCGGCTGGACAGAGAGATTCATTACCGTCCACTGGCTTCGAACTGAAGCAAATGAATCAGTCCACACCCCACACAGGCCTAACCATATTTCATTTTCATGTCATCCTCCAAATTATTCCAAGACCTCCCCCGAAATGATATGTTCTTTCAGGTTTTCAGACTAAAATAATACAATATTATATTTAAGCATCCTGTTGCACTCTATACGATATATGACAAAAACACCGTCCCAAGTGCGAGAATTTATTGTAGATCTTTTGTCTTGCACTCTTCTACACTACATGTTTCGTCATGTGTTTATGTCATATATAAAATAATACATTTGTCATTTCTGCATATATGTCGCCAATCCAACAGACCTGCTTCTTGAGATGAGAAATTCTCGCAAAATTTTGGTCAGTAATCATCAAAGGAAGAATGTAATGTGGGAGAATTAATGTAGATGAGAGGAAGTTGCTGAAATGGATCTATAAAAGGGGCTGAATTAAACTGGCTCATTAGGGTCCAGTGATGGACTGTCATATCGGTGGTGATCCACATAGCAGAGAGTTATTTCCTTGACAGACACGTGTACTTCAATGTATCAATTTAAAAAGACCATGTACCATTAATTTGGTTAGTTGATTACCTATATATAAATTGCAAAAGCGAATTTAAATGGTATTTCTAAAATATTTCAATGATAAATTCGATAACATAAAGAAATTTTATGATCATTTTCTTTTTCAGAAATGACTAATTACACCGGGACCAATATTAATGGGCCCCCGCTGAGGTAGAAGAAGCGATAAGAAGCAAAAACACAGTGTGCGTAATTTCACGTGGTGAGCGAGAACTTAAGTACATCGGGCTATCATATTTTTAAACAAAAGAAGACTTTGAAAATTCTAAAAAGTTCTGACGATAGTGTATAACACTCAGGATTACTAGATTTTGGATTTTTTCCCATCGTCCAGTGTTCTAAAAAAAACGGAAAAAAGACACGACGTTTCGGAAACTGTATGTTTCCGTCCTCAAGTGAAGGGGTGGGAGACACCTACTTTGTTGACTTCGTTAGAAAAAGCAGGTCCAGTAATTGATGTTATTTCTTTCTAACGGACCCAAAAGAGCAGATGTCTTCCACCCCCTCAACTGTTTCCAATTTCCGAAACATTGTGTTCTTTAGAATGTCGGACTTGGAGAAAGTCCAAACCCTCACTAATCCCCCCCCCAAAAAATAATTTTTTTCTAGATATACAGCAACAAGAAAATGGAGTCTGTCTGGGGGACGAACTTGCAAGCTGAGAGTCAAAGTAAGACGGCTGCTGCTAGAATGGCTGTCAGTATCAGCATGACAACCGAGAAATCTCTAGTAGATGGTGCTACAAGAAGTGAGTAATGCATAAAACAGTGTTTTTTCTTGGGTATTTAATTCGGAATTAAGTAGCTTATCAGTTCATTTATGTCAAGATGTCCTGCAATAGGCAATATGTTGCATAAACTCTACTGCGATCCGTGGACTTGACTTACCAGTTGTGAGAAGGCGACGGCCGAGACGCCGATGTCGAACTCTCCCATGCCAAATATGTAGAGAGTCAGTAACGTTTCCGTGCTCCAGATTCTGATATGCGCTTGAGTTTTCCGGTTGCGTCCAGCGCGTTGCCCTGATGCTACCATCTCCCGGGACGGGTGTAACTCCATGCTGCAAAGGCAATCTCTTTCAGTACCTCACATGTACTCACATACTCAGCGTCATCGGATAAATTATAATAATTTACGTTCGTAACAAGGTGCTATTTTATACAGAAATTGCTAATAATATGAATAACAGTAAGGTGAAAAGGTAAAAATGGTAAATCTATCCCTGTAACAGGCCGTGAAGGCCCATAGGGTAGTGAGAAACGTTGAGGATCCCACATTATCTAGACAATCGGCTCACAGATGGCGGTAAGGTTGTCACACTTACAGGCCAATATGAATAATAGTAATAATAGAAAATAATACAAGCCTATTACCAGGCTGCACAAATTTCCTGCCAATATATGAGCCACTTCCAAAAACCAGGAAGATTAAGAATTGAAAACCTCGGATGATAAGTGTTCTGGCTTTTATTAAAGGACAATTTAAACATCTCCATATAAATAGTAGCTAGCGCTGATTTTTAAAAATTCCGCAATAGTTTTTGTCTCACTGATATAAACATAATTGGGAGGCGGTTGCTAGGGTTACAGCGTGACCCGTGGAGCACACGGTACTTTACGTTGGACGGGCTGAACTCACCACTGTATATCTTCCGTGTGCCCGATGTAATGGCGCTGCATATCCTCATCCCTGTCGTACAAGACAGCCACCGCCCCCACAAAGTACAGCATTTCTCCCGTTGGCAAGACCCAGAGATTCCGCTTGGAGTCCGTGCCTCGATACCCGTAACTGCAGCGCCGGGAGTCAAGGAATAACAAACTTTTCTGTCACAATGCGTTGCTATTCACACCTTATAATGCACTGAGGTGAAACTAATCTGATTTGAGGGCCGCGCCTTAGCTTAAGCGGTTAGTCGCTGGCTTCCCACCGCGACGGCCCGGGTTCGATCCCGGGTCTGGTCAAATGGGATTTGTGGTGGACAAAGTGGCGCTGGGGCAGGTTTTCTCCAAGTACTTCGGTTTCCCCTGCCAATCTTCATTCCACCAATTGCTCCACAGTCACCCTCACCTATCATCTGGGGCTGGTACAATTGGCCAGAAGTACAAGGGACTTAGTCCCACCCCACTAGCCTTAATCTGATTTGAAATACTGGATATTAATTTAATGCAGTTGTAAGAATTTTTGCGTAATTATCTACTGATTAACCTTGAAGGTTGCGATGTGGTTATTAGTACCAAGAGCGTCGTCAGAACATCTTAACAGTCATTTGTAAACGTTACTGTAGTTAGGAAAGGTAAAGTTGTCCTTGAGTTTAACTAATTGAACAATATGTCACGAGGACTTATAGGGGAGTGGATGTATAGATCCACGTATTCTAAGCCTTAGCACTAGTTTGAGGTGAATGGTCAGCTTCATGCCCTGGCCTTCTTATCACCGAGGAAAGAGTCTCCATTATCCGTTTGGGTAGGACTCTGGGTTGGCCCTAAAACCTGTATGGACGAAATACCATTACAGCTGTTAACTGGAAGCACGTTAACTCTCCAAAACCGACATTTATATGAAGAAATAAAAAAAAAAATTAGGTCTCACTCCAACATTTTATCAAACCGGTAATGCTGGTTCAGAGTAATTTCTGCCACAAGCCATTAAGGAGCAGGGATAGTGCAGTCGGTATAGCGACTGGCTACGGGCTGGACGAAGAAGGGATCGGAGTTCGAGTCCCTATAAGATTAAGAATTTTCTCTTCTCCGTATCGTTCAGACCGGCTCTGGGATCTACCGAAGCTAATATCCAATGGATGTTGGGGGCTCTTTCCGCAGAGGTAAAGCGGCCGGGGCGTGAAACTGACCACTCACCTCCATCTAATACCGAGGTCGAGAATGGTGGTGCTATACCTCTACTCCCCCATACGCCTTAATGGTCTGGGGCTTAATTAATTAAGCACAGGGACAACTTTACTTTTACCCATTCAACTTATTGCAGAATTTGTTTTGCTTTTTCTTTCCTGTAA